AGCAGTTTGAGCTGCACAGCATTAACCTTCAGACAGAGGGGACGGGGAGGCCGAGGAACCCTGCCTGGCACACTGAGCATCTGGGCTTCCTCACAGCCATAGCCTAGACCTGTCTTGGCCTCTGAGTTGAGAGCCAGGTGGCCCGGGGCTACTAGGAGAGCAGCCCTCCTCACGTGATGCAGGTGGTCTGAGTGGAGGCAGAGATCAAACACTGGGCCTGCATGAGGAGTGTTTGCCATCTTTTATGCTGTCCTCAAATTGAAGATGCATATACACCAAGAAATTAAAATAGTTAAAAAAACGAAACTGAACAAAAACCCAGCTACTTTAGAGAGGAAAAGGGGAGAGAACTGGACCAGAAACTGGAATGAGAGATGTAGCAGTTGAGTACTTGGTTTGGTTCTGAGCCTCCAGGCTCCCTGGGCAAACAGTGAAAATATCACAGGATGCATAATCTGATAATCATCCCTTGGGAGACTTTTTGTCCTGCCACTAAATTCCAGAGTAGATTCCTTGGCCCCTGCCTGGAGGATGTAGCGGAATGGAAGAGATGATTTGTTGACCCGTGTTAACAGACAAGACAGAATCGCTGGTCATGATCTTCATGTCTCCTTTGTTCCCCTTACCTGCCCGTCCTGTCTGTCCACCCTTCCTAGGAGGCCCCCTTTCTGTTCCTCTGAACAGCAGTCATCCTCACCGTCTTGTGAGCCCTCCATATTCCTATTTTACCGAGCAAGGGGACCATAAGGTTTGTGTCCGTCGAGAGCAGTGGGCCAGGAGTCAGGAATCCTAGGTTCTCCTGGCTCCTCGTAGTCTTGGCCGGGTTACCTGCCCTCTGTGGACCTCAGTTTCCCCATGTTTAAAATGAGATACTGAACTAGACGATGACAAAGTAATCTTAATTTTTATTTATTGAGAGCATTCTACGTTCCAGGTAGATTACAGACATTATTATCATTAATCCTTATAGTTGTGTGACAAGATAGAGGCACTGTTGTTTCCCATTCTACAGAGACACTCAGCCACGATTCGGATCTGGCTCTTTGGCTCCGTATCCTGAGTACTTTATTATAAAGGCCCCTCCTCTGAGTCCCCTTGACACTGGCTGAGTCCCTGCTGTGTGTGAGATACTGTTTTAGGCACCAAAGGGGAAAACAGTCCCTGCTTTCAAGGTACCCTGTTCAAGAATACCAATCGGGGACCTTGGGGATAAAGCAGCGTGTGCTAGTTATTTCTGTGAGGCTGGCACTGAGTCTTTATTTTATCCACAGCTGGGCAAGTCTGTGGTGGCCAAAGTGAAAATCCCGGAGGGCACCATTTTAACACTGGACATGCTCACTGTGAAGGTGGGTGAGCCCAAAGGCTATCCTCCTGAAGACATCTTTAGTCTAGTGGGCAAGAAGGTCCTGGTCACTGTTGAAGAAGACGACACGATCATGGAAGAATCGGTAGAAAATCATGGCAAAAAAATCAAGTCTTAAAATAAAGTGCCATTCTCTGAATTCTGAATTGCCTTGCGGGTACTGTCAGGTGCCTTTGAGTGAAATGGGGTGGGAGTGGTTGTCTCCAGGGACCTGGCTTTCATCCCCTCCATGCCCAGACAACAGACATTTTGGGGCCAGGCCCTGGACCAGGCCCGGTGCAGGGATACAAAGAGCAGATAGGAGCAGCCTCTGCCTCAGGTTGGCCGGCCCAGAACGTGAGGTGGGCTCAGAAGCATCCCATCACCCTCCACTTGCTGTGAGGGTGCAGAGGCGTGAGTACTGGCTGAATGGGCCCTCTCCTTCCAGCCTGCCTTCTTCCTGCCCACAAGCCATCCCTAATGACCCCAAATCTCCCGTCCTTCCAGACCTTCAGCTGTCTCTCCTTCTCCACTGCCCTTATCCTCCGCCCGCCCTGGGGCCGAGTAGTTAACTGTATAGCGACGACTTGGCATTAGAGAAGGGGTGGCCAGAGTGTCTTGCAGGCAAAGAAATGCCCAAAGTACTCATATGTCTGAGCAAAGAGGGAAATGGCATAATATTCCTTCTTTCAACAAATACGGAGGGCCTACTATGTGCCAGGCCCTGCTTTAGGGCCTGAGGATACAGCAGTGAATCCCTTCCTTATGGGACATCCGTTCAGATGGGGACAGATGCACCGTAAGCCGTGAGCACAGTAAGTAAACTGCAGTGTTAGAAGTGAGATGGGTAAGGGAGTTGGGGGATGTGGGTCTTGGTGTATTTGCAGCTTGTGGTGACTTGTAAATGCGGTGGTGATGCTGAAATCAGCCCTTCCGTGATCCACAGAGAAACTACAAACCCAGCTAACAAAAAACCCTCACTGTTCTACTTCCTTGAACTGCAGCATGAACGTTTCACAGAGATTCCGTATCATATTCCTCTTTGTTCTTTTGAACCAATACTGGGATTAATGATTATTTTCAAATTCTTAATCTTTGTTCATATTTATGTGACGTGGTTACTATAACTCCTCTTGTTTCAAGGTATATATTTGAGTCTCTTTTCAAATGCATAAATTTGCCTTTTGAAGTTTCTTGTGAGGATAGAGCCTCCCTCTCCTATGGATCCTGGAAGTTTCTGGAAAGGCACTCGTGTTTGTGTGTGTGGGTGCGTTGGGGTGGGACTCCGAGGTTGTGCTCACATGTCAAAGAGAACCCACAGAGTTGACGTGCTAGTGCTGGAGTGTGGGAGCGCCCATTTCTGCCTGCTCTTTACTCCCTTTTGTTTCTCCTATAAACAGATCGTGAGTAGACAGTCAAAATTGCTGATTCCATGGCCTTTTTCTTCTACAACAGCAGAGAAGATGACACTAAAGCAAGTATCTGAGACTTCCTAATAAGAGGAGACATAGTATGGTAGGAGACAGATGTGTTCCAGGGCCTGGAAGGATGTGGGTCTGGAAGAAAGGGAGGGAAGGGTCTGGCTAAGAATGAGCAGCAGGTGGTTTCTAGCAGGGAACCAGTCAGTCGCCTCCAGGTCCTGTGAGACTGTAATGTTAGAAGGGCCCAGGCTGCTCTGCTGACCTCAGCTGGATTTCCCTCAGAGGGCAGGGGCCAGTGAGGCTCAGAGTTGGAAGAGCCACTGAGAGTATAGATCTTAACTCTACCTTTTGGGTGGAGGACTGTGTAACATGTTGGAGAGAACTGTGAAGGAGGGCCAGTGTCCAGAACACGCTTCCCGCCAGGGCACATAGAGAAAACGACAGCCTGTGTATGACATGTGTGGGTAAAGTACGGGGCTGCCTGCGGCCAGGAGTAGCTGGCCCCTTCATGCTGTGCTGGGCCCCGAGGGCAGAGGATGGATGTCTGGGCACAGCTCTGGCCCATTCAGGTTGGGAAGCTCAGGTCTAGAAAGTGACATATGCAGTGAGATGGGCAAGGGAGTTGGGGAATGTGGAGCACCTGCCAGGTGGGAGATGCATTGTTGGGCCCATAGAGGCAGCAGATGGACCCTGCTGGAGAGTTGACAGCCTGTTGGGTGCAGGTAACTCCACTAATAGCATGCTGCATTTGTGAATTGCTGAGATATTTTTCAAGAGTCATGGGAGCTACGGAATGGCAATGAGAGAAGAGATGTTGGCCAGGGAAGCCCTCCTGGAGGAGGCAGCACTTTAGTTTAGCCTTGCATGTTGAGAAGTGACCAAGTGAGGAATTGTGGGATTCGGGGCATGGGAAGTGCCCTGTGTGTCCAGGTGATGGTTTGGCAGGGAATGGCCACATGGAAAGAAAGGGTTTGGAAGGTGGTCAGAAAGGAAGCAAGGGCTTAAAAGCCTGCTGAATTTGACTTTGTTCTGTAAGTAATGGGGCGCCATAGAAGGCTTTAGAGCAGGACATGGTGGACTCAACCTTGCCCCCCACTCTTATGCGTACCCACCCCACCTCCTTTGCAGCTTGGCTTCTTGGGCAGGCTCTCCCCTCTGCATAGTAGAGCCTCCTGCCCACCAGGCCCTGGCTGTGCAGGGCCATCTCTGTGCCTCCTGCGAGGTTGTGCCTCCACCAGGCTGTCATCACTGTCCCCTGCTCCCTGACAAAGTTGAATTGCAGAAAAAGAAGAGATGGTACAGTAGGCAAGGGAGGGTCCATGAAATCTCTAAAAATTGGCTTCAGTGTTGCTATAGGATGATTATAAAGTTGCCAAAAGCTACATAATACTGTCTTGGATAGGAACAGCCCAGGAGGCAGGAATTTGTTTCCACATAAGCAAGAACTTGGTGAATTACCTTAGAAACAGTGAACTAACTCTCCATCACTAGATAGTCAACCAAGGACCAGCTGACTATGAGAGAGTTGTGGAGAGGGTGGGAGGTGAGCAAGGCCCTGCTCAGGCCTAGGTGCTGTGTGTACTTGAAGCAACATGAACTTCCAGTGAAGAACATGGTTAAAGGAGACAGTATTCGTATTTTATTAAAACAAACCACATATTAGACAATTGCTGTCTCTTAAAAATATCTGCAAGCAGTTTATGCTCAGTAAAGAAACTTCTGTAGATTCAAGTCTGAAGGAGAGTAAGTGATCAGAACCCTTATACAGACATGGACCCCAAGGGAACTCTGTCCCGTGTTGAGAACATTCATGGAGGCTCCTGCTACCGCCAGATGGCAGCTAGGAATATCGGTTGTCTCGCACTGTGCCAGGCAGAACAAGGACTTTGCTGGGGATGCTAATAGGTCCTGGCATGGTACAGCCCTGTGCAGTTTTTAAAGCAAGTTCATATCCTTTGGCTAATTTGAGCCTCACAGCACTGGTAGGCATTAAACCCACTTTATGGATGATGCCTCAATAAGTACAGTGACTAGCTTGAGGTCACAACTGATTGTGGATGAAAACTACAGTTCTCTGGCTGGCACCAGCCCCGGCACAGGGTCAGAATTTGGTTAAAGCCAGTTTTCACCCTTTGTCCAGCTCTGGCTCTGCTACATGCATCCCAAACTCTCAAATCCCCTTCTAGGTGTAAGAACTCATCTCAGAGCCCCAGGAAGGTAATCCAAAGGCAGACTCAAGTCTCAGAGTAACTGGGCAAAAGCAAAGCACCACAGGCCTAACAAGAGAGGGGCCAGAGCAGGTAGGCACTGGCTAGAGACCAGCTGCGTTCACCCAAACATGGTGCATGAGCATGGGCTTCAGCTCCACCATTAGCTGTGTGATCTTGGGCACATTAGTCATTCTGTGTACAACTGGGATAACTTGCTACCTCCTAGAGATGATGTAAGGATCAAATGAGTTAATAGTTGTAAAGCATTAGAACAGTGCTTGACAAAATAAGCAAGTATTTTTACTTGGCCCCTGAGGCTGTGGGTCTGGGAACAAGTCTTGGTTTGCAGGGATGAACAGAGATGTGGGGTCAAGTGAACCCATCTTCCTCTGTCAGGAATGCCCTCTGCCTGTCAGAATTCAGCTCTGGGCCATCTCAAGTAGAATTAATTTCCCTTTTCTCAGGATTCCCAGAGCATAGCGCTTAGATATCTATCCAAGCTCGAGTTTTAAATGATTTGGTTAGAACTAAAGCAGCTTTTGAGATTCCTTCTGCCTTGTAGTCTACTTGTATTACATTGCCCCCCAGGAAAGTGCCATTTTTTAGGTCAAAAACTATTGGTAATTGGCAGCTTTATGTAGTTCAAACTAATTAATGCACCAAGAGTCTGTTTAAACCCTGAGGGGGATTCAGCTTTGCATTTTCTTCACTCTGCCACTGCCTCCTGCCGAGCACCTAGGGAGATACTTTAACATAGTCTAACTTCAAAACCACCTAACAAATTCAGCAAGTCAAGGTGCCGAGCCTTCAGAACTGAAGCACAGACCCTGGAAGGAGGCCCTTCCTTCCCTGCTAGACGCACTGACCTCCCTGGCAAGGCCTGCTGATGTGGCCTTCTCTATTTCCATCGCTTCCTGGAAAACAGGGCTCTCTGGGTTTCCTTGCCAACATCTTGGATCTGAGGAGCATAGCGATGCCCCAACCCCACTCACAGTTCATGTCTTTTTGATTCTAAGACAGTTGGGAAAACTGCCTCTGGTTGCTTAGCAACTGTCACCTGCTGATTTCGTCCCAACATCCCCTGAGAAATGAGTAAGCAGTAAAATCTCCCAGGTTGAAAGCTGGGCCTGAAGGGCTGGGCCAAGTGGCAAATGAGACGCATGCTTGGGGGTATGTGGGTAAGCCCTTAATCACTGTGGGTGACTTTAAGTAACTTTCTTGCAGGACTTTATTCTCCCCAAATGTGCAACGTGGTCCGGCTGCCTGGTCTGTGAGGTCCTCCCATCTCAGCTGTTCTGTGATTCAGGGATAGCCAGCTGGTGGTCATTCATTCACTGCCTGGGAGGGAAGGGACTTTCTGAACTTTTCAGGGTGTGGAGGGTGTAGGACATGGCTGCCCTTAGAAATCTTCCAATCTAATTGGAAAGACATGTCCCAGATTGTGGATCTGATAGTAAGAGAGAGAGATTCTTGTGACTTCTATAGACTTCCTGGGGCATTTAAGCCTGGGGAAGATGGACAGGAAAAAAGAAAAAAGGGCTTTCCTGTATAAACGTGTTTTGTGTAGGAAGTGGCAAAGACACCGGTGTAGAGGAGCAACTGTGACACACAGTTCTGACTGGAGGGTCTCTGAAAAGAGCAGAAGGAGCTAGATGAGGAAAAGTAGCTTTGGGGCAGACTAGAAAAACCTTGAATGCTAAGGTAAAGTGCCTTCCCCCCCCCCCCCACGGTGGTCGTTGGGAACCTTTTGATAGTTCTGAGAGGTTAAGTGAGGTTTCAGGCAGAACATTCTGGCAGTAGGGTGGAGGATGAGCATTGGGAAGGGTTCAAGCCAGGAGACAATAAGAAGCTCTTGGCAGCTGCTTTTAAGGGAGGTGACATGGACAAGCTGAAGTAGAGTGGAGAGGAGGAAGCAGATCCAAGGGACATTCAGGGATAGAAGAGTCTTAGTGACTCATTCATTCACATAGTTATTGTGTGCCTACTATGTACCAGGCAGTTCTGGGTGCTGTATGAGGGAGAATGTTCTGAGGCTGAGAATAATGTATTCTAACATCGTCAGGATGCTTAGGGCTCACCTTGTGGGTATGCCCTTTTAGGAACCTGGACTAAAAGCAGTGTAGTGTAAGTGCTGGGGGGTGAGGGGGGTTCCCATAAGACAGCAGCAAGAGGACCTGTGTTTAGAGCATGTTTGAAACTCGCCTACCTAGGAGAACTGTTTAAAACGCAGGGCATGACTGGTGGAGGAGAGAATGGGAGGCTTAGAGAGGCGGCCATAGACCAGCCACATCTGGGTGGGGTGGGACCAGAACCACGCAGAGCCTAGGGAGGTTACTCGGGGTCTCGGCCCCTAGGGCAGTCGGATCATGCTGATGGCTCCTTCCCAGAGCCGCAGGGCCGGGTAGAGCGGCTCCTGGAAGGCGGCACGGAAAGTGTACAGGTGGCTCATGCCGCCTGTCACGTCATAGAAGGCTAGGACACCGGCCTCGTAATCCAGGAAGACGCCAAGCCTGTCAGGGTCATCACGGGGCCGCAGGCGGCTGCGCTGGCCGTCGTGGAAGGCCCAGTACTCGAGGTCATAGCGTTTGAGGCACCAGGACTGGCGGTTGCAGCCCAGGCGGGAGGCGGCCGTGGCCCCGTGGCGCCGCAGGGAGCCGTAGGCCGCGCCCACCCACCAGCCGATGCCCGCCTCCTGCAAGTCCACTTCCCAGTAGTGGCGGCCTGCGGCGAAGCAGTCTCGACCCAGTACTTGCCATAGCGAGTCGAAACGCACCGTGGGCGCTGGCCCTAGGCGGGCGAAGAGGCCACAGCGTACCATCAGACGGTCGGCCGAGAGGCGCAGGCGCGCGTGCATCGTGTCCGGCTCCAGCGTGGGCGTGCGTGCGTCT